CAGCTGGTTTTGGTTGTCAGCAGCAAACTGGTTGATCCACTCTAAGAAGGTGCTATTTAAGAGACTGAGCTGAAAACAGCACTTCAGACTGAGGAAGTCTCTTGGATGAGAGACGAAACGTTTCTAGATTTTTTTTGCTTTGTTTTGCTTTTGTTTTTTTGAATGTACAGAGGACCAGATTGAACTTTTTTGGACTCATCTGTAGTGACTGCAGGTTGAACAAGACAATGTGAAGTTAAAGGAAACATCCTTTGTCCCAAGGCCAGTTTAAGTATCATTAATATTTTTCTTTCTTTATGAATCGATTGTAACTTTGTTCACATTTTTCAACAACCAAAATGGAATTTGTTTTTTAATGTTATGGCTAGGTATTAAAAAAAAACAACTAACATTTAGCTCTCCCCACTACCCAGTTATGTTGCTCTTATTTTGAAATGTAACCGGAAGTTCTGTGTTAAGAGAGGCGGAAAAGAAGTTATGGAGACGCCGCGGCAGTATACTGGAGCAATGTCGAACCGAGACGCCGCCAGTGTTGAACCTGAGACGCCGCAAATGTCGAACCGGTTAACACCATAGACATAATATGCCTGTGGGTAACACAATCTGCCAATAACACCTTGTTTTTAGACATAATGTGTCTGTGGTTGCGGCATTTTATCGTTCAGCCTTTTTTTCTATCGTCCAATCAGATGTGGCCGGCCAGACACGCCTATTTTTCTATCGTCCAATCAAATATGGCCGGCCAGACACGCCCATTTTTCTATCGTCCAATCAGATGCGGCCGGCCAGACACGCCTATTTTCATATAGTCCAATCAGATATGATCGCCCAGATACGCCCATTTTCCTATAGTCCAATCAGATATGATCGCCCAGATACGCCTTCTGAATTTGGCTGCAGAGATACCTACTTGACCTTTGCTCCTATTTGCATGGTCTGATGTTTGTTTGTGTGTGTGTGTGTGTGTGTGTGTGTGTGCGGGGGGGGGGGGGGGGGGGGGGGGGGGGGGGCTTCTCCCTTCTTGAGGGGTTGCCACAGCAAACTAAGTCACACGAAGACTTGGCAATTGTTTTTACACTGGATGTCTTTCCTGACACAACCACAGACCACCGAGCTATGCTGGGAGTCAAGGGCCTTGTTCAAGGGCCCAGAGTGGGGCAAATGAGGGTGGA